TTCAAGTTCTTAAGATTGAGAATCATTAGATGAGCCAACAAGTAGTTTGCACCAAGCTAAGGATGAACCCCTAACCAATATCAAACTCTGGCTATGAAATGGATTCAGGAGAACACCAAGATATTGTATACTGTCAAGATTTTTTCAAAGACACTCATATCAACCCAGGTTACCATGGCTTGTTTAACAAACTTAGAACAAACTAACCTGGCTGAGCAGTTATATGTTAATACAGTACAATCATTCTCTTAACTATGGAGGCTCTTTCCATGGATTTATTGCACATTCTTCAAAGCTATAAAATAACCCAGTGTTTCTCATTTTTGCAATCATTAAGTTGTGTGAATTTAACTCCCAGAACTCGGGGAATTAAGATGGGATCCCAAAATCCCATGCCAACTAGGGAATTCTGGGAGTTGAAATGCATTCTCGGAGGGAGATTGACAGTTCAAAAATGTATAAATAAATGCATACAAACATCTGGTATTCTGGTTGCTTCAATTCTTCATTTTAATCATTCTGATCTCTTGGAAACTGAGTAATTTAAACTGTAAATAAATCATTCAGAAATAAATAGCCAATGATATTAGGACAAGAAGCACTAGATAATATCCAGATTTGTATGCTAGTTATATATGATACAGAGTACTTTTACACTGTAACATTGATCAGCATTTATATGCTATATTAATCCTTCTGAATTAGAAAAAGGATACTTCTGAATTTCAGTAGCTAGCAATGGAGGAAATATTTGACCAGACTGTTGGTAGAAAAATCCTTCTGAGTTCAGTTCCAAGTGGGGAAAAAGACACTGGAAACATGGAGGCTGTTTGGAAAGATGGTTTAATGGTGGACAGCAGGACCACATGGCTTGGAGCTCCAAAGTGAAAAGGAAGGATGATCAAATACTTCAACGTGAGAAGAGAAGGTCAGGAAGGGCTGAGCTGCTGAGAGTGTCTGAGTTTTATAACCTTTGTTGGGATTTGAATTGGAGCTTGTATTCTGATTGGTTGTCAGACTCCCATGAGGCCATGCAGGGGCAATTCTGTAAGTTGTCCTGAGTTCCAGGCTTGGTTGAGCCTTGCTGGATGATGATGATGCCCTGAAAAGATTTTTGAGCAATTGTTATAGCTTTACCTGGAGATCTTTGGTATGTAAAGTATTCTGGCCCAGGCCTTAATGACCCACCCATTAACAAAGGTGGGGGTGAGCTTCTACTTCTGAGGTGAGTTTCTGCTTCGGAGTTTCTACTCTTTTTAGAGAAAATATTCTGCCTTTTTAATATTTCCTAGGATATTTCAATTTTCTAGGAGAGGTGTGGGTGCTAACTTCCTACAGGACCACTGAAACAAATGATTGAAAACTGATTTTCCTGCACAGTAAGGGGTGATTAACTATGATTCAGGACATCTACTCTATTACAGTCATCCAATCTTTGACCAGCCACAACTCTTAGTTAGGATTCACCAAAAGCTTAAAACAAGACAAAGGGCGAAAATTATAGTGTTCTTGGCATCCCTTTCTAGGTGAACATTCTTCACAAGCCTGGGCCAAGTTGAAGGCACTGGAGACAGAACAAAATCCTTATTGATTTACTTTAATCCGGGGTTGATTTAAATTGATGACATTGATTTAATTAACCTTGTATGTGAGAATAGAGTTGAGAAGAGGTTGTTATGGAGGAGTGATGAAAGATTTGATTTTTTTAATTTTTTTTGTAGAGCAGAACCTTTATTATCACAGCACTGACCTTGTTTTTCCTCCATTGCGGGTCACATTTTTGTTGTGATGCTGGGCTTTTAAGCTCCTATTGAGTAGCAATTTTGGCTTAAAAGTGGGATAGAATGTCACCAAAGCCAGACAGCAATATCCAAGTTGTGTGCAAGGTCTCACACATCTGTGATATGACACCCAGAGTGACTCAGCCACTTACTTTTGTTATATAAGAGGCAGAGAAGACTGCCATTTCCCTGGAGAGATTAGCACTGGTATCTTTGTAGACCCACATATATACCATCCTATGGGGGAAAAGAATGCATTTTGTGTTGGAGGAACAGGTTTTGTCCTCGGGATGCAGTTCTACTAACTTAGCTTTGCCAACAGTTAGAAAAGGCATATGGGAAATTGTTGACTTGGCACTCTTCTTGGTGCGGTCATAACATACAGGTAGTCCTCAACTTATGACCACAATTGAGCCCAAACTGTCTGTTGTTAAGACATTTGTTAAGTGAATTTTGCCCTATGTTACGACCAGGGGTGGGATTCAATTTTTTTAACAACCAGTTTTGTGGGTGTGGCTTAGTTGGTGGGCGTGGCTTGGTGGTCATGTGACTTGGTGGTCATGTTATTGGCTGGGTGTGGCCAACTCAATATCACTCACATCGAGGCATGCATCTCATCGCCTGGCCTCTCATGACTATACGGATGCTACAACAGTCGTAAGTGTGAAAAAGGATCATAAGTCACTTTTTTCAGAGCTATTGTAACTTTGGTCACTCCACAAAAGCAAAGTACCAGCAAAGGAGGGGAAAAAAACTCCTGAGAAGTTCCTGAGACAGGAAGTCTAGTCCTGCCAAGAATGGGTTAATGGAGATTCAGTTTCTGTAAGCAACACCAGAATGTTTCCTTCCTGCCTTCCTTACAGGATTAGGCCAGTAATTTCTTCTAACAACCGGTTCTCCAAACTGCTTAGAATGTTAACAACCGGTTCTAGCAAATAGATGCGAGATGTAGAATCCCACCCCTGGTTACAATCTTTCTTGCCACAGTTGCTAAGTGAATCACTGCAGTTGATAAGTTGGTAACATGGTTGTTAAGTGAATCTCGCTTCCCCATTGATTTTGCTTGTCAAAAGATTGCAAAAGGTGAGCAGATGATCTTGGGAAACAGCAATGGTCATAAGTATGAGCCACTTGCCAAGCATCTGAATTTTGATCACATGATCGTGGGGATGTTACAAAGGTAGTAAGTGTGAAAAATGGTCCTAAGTCACTTTTTTCAGTGCCTTTGTAAGTTTGAATGGTCACTAAATGAACTGTTGTAAATCAAGGACTATCTGTATGTAACTTTACAGGTGGCTAGAGATGACCTATGCCAATGGTTCCCAACATTTTCTTCACCATGCCCCCCCCTTTTTAAAATTTTTATCGGTTTTTAAAAACAAACATAAACAAAACATAAAAACATCAAGCTATCTTCCATATGTGTACATACAGTGTGCCGGTTGGTTTACAAATTGTTTTGTGCTTCCATTTCGTAGTCTTCAATTACAATTACATTGCATATAATCTCATATTTTCAATCAAAAATTAAATACCTTAGTATCATTATTAATCAATCATTTGACTATACTTTTATTCATTCATGTTTTACAAGATAATCATAATTTGCTTAGTTTATTTTATAACAGTTCATATTATCATCCCAAATCTATCCTAAAATCATTTTGTAGATATAATAAGAAAGAAGTACATCTTTATATATTTATTATTTTCTAAAAGTCTACATATTTCATTACTGTATTTTATTATCTAACCATTGATAGAAAAGATCCCAAATTTTATAAAATTGTTTATCCTCTTGTTCTCTAATTTCAAATGTCAATCTACTCATTTCAGCACATTTCAATATTTTCTTAATGATTTCCTCCTGTGATGGTATTTTCTCATTTTTCCAGTTTTTAGCAAATACAATCCTAGCCGCTGTTAATATGTTTACAATCAGGTATTTCAAGTCTTTACTATATATTTCAGATAAAATTCCCAATAAAAATATCTCTGGTTTCAAGTCTATATGCTTTTTTGTCATTTTTTCCAACCACATGTGGATTTTAGTCCAGTATTTTTTAGCATCCGCACAAGTCCACCACATATGGTAATATGAGCCAGGTGTCTGATGACATTTCCAACATTTTTCAGATTTATTCTTGAACATTCCTGCTATTCTTGTCCGGGGAACATGCCACCTGTAAAACATCTTATACAAATTTTCTTTATATTGCTGTTGACATTGTCATTTTATAATTTGGAAACCACAATTTTTGCCATTTCTCTAAATCGATCCCATATCCAAAATTCTTCCCCCAAGCAATCATAGTTTCTTTAACTTGTTCTTCTTCTAATTTAATTTCTAATAAATATCCATATAGTTTTTTAATCACCTTTTCATCAGTACCTGTCAAAATCTTATCTAAATCAGTCAATTTATCATAGAAACCTTCCATTTTA